CGCTGCCTGTCATTAATGTTAATCAAAGAACAAAAGAAAATCATTCACTGATCTTGATTGAATATATTTAATAACTTTAAATGATTAATCTATATTTTATTTATGAAAAGAAAACTATGCAGTGTTTTTAAACTTTTAATTACAGTTTCTGTACCTGAAATTTTGTTCAGTTGTGTTTATTTATGATATTGTTAATTGATTGGTTTGTTCCTATCTTATTACTGATTGTTTACTTGTCTTTAACACTTTAATATTTGAAATTTATATTAATCTGGTTGTTTTTGCTGTGGTATTTTTTTTTAAAGCATAGGCAAAATTCCTCTTGCAGTGTTCTGTAGGCTGCTGATTTTTGCTCGTGTTATTCAGCTGCAACAGAATGCTTTGTAAAAAGATAGAATAAATGTTTGACATCTAAATGTTTGACTTAATTTTTTTTATATTGGATTTTTTAACTTATTGGAATCGAAACTAGGAATCGATAAGAATTGGAATCGCTAAAATTCAAATGATACCCAACCCTAATTAAAATACTGCAGAGTGAAAATGTTTTAAGAGCAATGTTATTTTGAACATTGAGATACTATAATTTTTTTTATTAATATTTTGAATAATTTTGGGGTATATTTTCTGTTTTTATTTAAGTTTCAGTCTTTTTTCATCTTATATTTTATTTTCAAATAATGAAAACTATTTTTAACCATTTTAATTACTCACTCATTACAACGAAATGCAGAAAAGAAGGTTACAGGTCTTTAAAATCAGTGTTTGCATCAAAATGTATGGTTTTTGAGTTGTAATGGTTTTCTCCACACAAAATGTGCTTTGCAGTTTTCATCCCTTTTTTATCTGGTCATGACATTAGCTGAAAGATATGATGTTATGTGAATGAATTTGGGATTTATGTGTATGTGTGTGTGTCTCACCCTGAGGAAGTATCTCATATTCTTGTTGTGGAAATCTCCAGGAGGTAGTAACAGGTACAGCAGCACTTCACAGAGATCCCGCAGGTAACCTGCACCAAAAACAATTAGACATCAATAAATTATACCATTAAATAGGAATCTAAACAAATTTTTTTTAAACCATTTAAGACCATACATTTTATAAAAGGATCTGCAGAAACCCTGTATTGTATGATTTCAGATGTCTTTGAATTACCCTCACAAGTTGTACAAACTTCTTTTATGGTGTTTTTTGTGCATTTTTTTACACTAAGCAGCTACTTTTCCCATTCACTTTCAGTGTGTGGAAAACAGCAGCGTAAACATTCATCAAAACATCTCCTTTTGTGCTCCAAGGAAAGAAGAAAGTTGGTTTTAGAAAGATATGAAGGTGAGTAAATGATTTGTGATCATTCATCTGATAATGATGATGGAATGCAGTGGTGATAACGACATCTTTTATATTCACAGGGCACATTTATACACACACCTCCACCCAAAAATGATTTTATTGTTTTCTTCTGTTGACAAAGCAAAACCACGCCTTGAATCACTGGGCTGGAGTCTCTGAACCGTCTATAGACACAAATCCTCCGTGCTTGTCTTACCTTCTTCATCCTTGCGTGACATGCAGACAACATCTCTACAAATCTTCCTCTCCATTTCCACCTCCGCCTCAAAAAACGAGTCCAACAACTCTTCCGGAGCGTCACCTGCCACAAACACACAAATACAAAAGCTCACACTATGAGTCAGTAAAATCAAGTTCCCAATCAAGATGCCCTGTACTCAGTATTAGGAAATCAACTATGTTTTACACGCTCTTAACAGTTCTAGACCTGATACTGAGATCTTTACACCACGTCCATAAAATGCTCTAGGTTGCTCTTCTCACTTGTAATCCAACTCTTTTTTACAAGGTTAGTTAACCCAAAAATTTAAATCTTGAAAATAGCACCATTATCATTCCTCAAAATACAGTATCTACTTCTGCATTTCAAAGAGGAAATCAAGTTAGGTGGGTTTGGAAAAACATGAGCGTGAGCAATGTTTTTGTTTTAAATTTTCTGTATTACTGTTTTTAATGCGTTTCTTTATTTTAATGATTTAATTAATTTTGAATAATCAATTTTGTTATTAATAATAATAATGATAATTATTATTATTATTAAACTGAAACATGTTGCTGTGCAACAGTAATTTATTTCTGTCACAATTCCTTCAAGTTAAACTGAACTTTTATTTTGACGGGTTGCCGTGAATGTGTGTATACATGACAGTCGTTTTTCTCAAATTAAATGATAAAATGCTCATGAAGAATTTCAGAAATCCAGAAAAATAACACTGAAATTCAGAAAAAGTGAAAAAAGAAAAATAAATAAATAAGAAGAAATTATTAATTTGTTAAAGTTGTATTAATTAAATTAATTAGACATCAATTAATTATACCGTTAAGGGAATCTAGAAAAATGAAATGGAAAACACAGAATTTGGGAAAAATAAAAGTGAATTTAGGAAAAAATAAACTGGATTTCATAGGGCCCCACAAGGAAATTTATTTTTCTGGATCATGTGCTCTCGGTTCATTTTGGCACAGACACAATGACCCATCACTTCTCCGCAAAGGACTCTGGGTAGACATTCCTGAGCAGAAGTGAAGCTCAGCAGAACAGACTGAGAGCTGGAGCTGCTGACACCCTCTCATGACTGTCTGTAACTTAACACAATTTCCTTAAAACCTCAGACTTACATAGGATGAGTTGCACAACGATTTCACTCACAAAGAGGTCTTATACTATGGGACAAGATGCGGTCATACCATGGAAAACCAGATACTTATTGTTTTTTTTCTCACATCTGCAAGTATCTCCAGTCTTCTCAGAGAAGTTACTGAAACTAAACCACAAAAATCAGGAACCATTTTTGAACACATCAGCTTCGTTCCAAAAACCAAGTCTGCTGCTGACCTAGACAACATTTTTAGGCAACACTCTCATGGAGTCTCAACTCTTAGCTGCGTGATTGTTAATATCGTTGGAAAATGTAACCATATCATCGCCCAGCTCTTTATATTAAAGAAGGATATATTAGTATGTCCAACTTTTTCTGCATACATACAGTGCACTCACAATACTATAGAAAAACAGCACTTTGTTCCAAAATTTCCAAAGAATTAAAATAAAAAAATAAAAGCTAAAAGTGTAGCATTAAAAAAGTGACCCTAGCAGAATATATGCATTGTAAGCAGACTTAAAGCCAATTCAGAAAAGCACTGACTGAAAACGACTGTGTCGTGCTCATCTGCTTTATGAAAAAAAAACAGACCAGCCTAAACTCTCAAACGAGCTGATCCAGCATCTGATGTGTGACACAGGTGGAAACAAATAGCATTTGTGAAGCGAAAGCTCGACAGTCTGAGACCAGCTCATCAGTAGACAAACCACAGGTTCCTCAAGCACATGAACGTGCACTTTTAGCGGTCGCGTTCATTTGTCCGTTTGGTTTTGTTGACGGTACCTGCTGCAGTGGTTCATCTATGATACTGGATCCTGTCAGACGTCGATCAATCTTTATAGGTCTGGACTCTGATTTGATCTCCTCCAAAACCTGACAAACAAACACAAAGAATTAAAACTCAGAAGTTGAACATGAGTGCAATTCGAAGTCAACATGATTAATATCATAATACCTTAATACCTTAATATTTTCAAGAAACGGCTGAAAACATCTTTCATCTTCATTTGACCCTCTAACTCTAGCACTCTCTGCTCTAATGCTACTTCTAATTTTATCTGCTTGTTTTTTTTATTAAAAAAACTTGACCCTCTAATATTTGCACTCTCTATTCTATTTTTCTAACTAGTTTTATTTATAAAGAAAAAAGAGCCTCTAACACTAGCATTCTCTATTCTTTCTACTTATTTTATTTTTATTTATTATAAATAAAGACCTTCCAACACTAGCATTATCTGTTCTTTTTCTATTCTTTCTACTTGTTTTCTTTTTATTTATTATAAAAACAAAGCAAGCAAACAAACAAAAAACTTGCTACGTATACTGTTAGGTGAAGCCCCGCCCCCTACTGTCCTTTTTTTGGAAAACTAAAACATGGTCACCCTATTATACTTAATTATTATGAAAATACCAGAGATGGCTTAAATATCACAGATAAACTATATTGTCACAGTCGAGTGTTTATTGTCTTTGTTTTATCATTCAAAACGTTTATATGTTCTGTTTACTCAGTTACAGATATAATGATGCCTTTGTCCATATAAGGGATTTCCCGGAGGGTCATGAGTTCAGCTACTTCTGTGACTGGATATGTGGATTTTCTATGCTACGGCGCCCTCTGGCGTCCAGTATGAATGAACAGACATCATGTGTTTATAGTGCTAATGGCCAATCCATCATTTTTGGGGGGAATTTATATTTATTTATTTTTTAATAAGTATCGGTTCAGGCACCATTTAGGCACCGGAACCATTTTAAAAGTATCGATTTGGCACC